AGAGAGGACAGGCTACCATAGGCGGTCCTGCATCCGAGACCTGCAGGATGCTGGAGAGGCTGGGGCCAGACTACCTTGCCCGGTTAGCAGGGGTTGAGTGGACACAACGGAGAGGAACAGAGGGGCAGGAAGGCAGTGGTGTTAAGTTAAAAGGTGACTGGAACTTTACCCAGCCACGTGCAAATGCCCTGAGGCAGGGGCTGGTGGGCCTGGGCACCAGGCTAAAGTCAAAGTCCTCTAGCCTGGGCAGAGTAGCAGTGCTGCTGAGGAGAACGAACACACTGGGGCTGTGGGAAGAGCACTGGAGTGTGAGTCCCAACTGAGCCCGGCTGTGCCACTGACGGGCCCGCGAGAGCTCAGACAGTCCTCCCCTCCCCCCCTCTACGACTTATCAGGGCCCGACTTGATCACCTTTCTCTGCTTTCCTAAAACTCTTCCAGGGGCTCTGGGTGGCGAGCACGGTTAAGGGTCCGACCAGCCAGGTCACGACCATGGTCCGTGAGGGCTCACCGGGCTCTGGCTGATGGCCCAGGAGCCTCCATCTCAGGCCCCCTCCTCTCTCAGCCCTCCCCCATTCAAGGCTCTGTCTCTCCTGTCCCAAAAATAAATAAACGTTGAAAAAAAAAATTAAAAAAAAAAAAGAGGCATCTTATCCTCTTAAAAAAAAAACTCTAACAGAAGCCATAACTTTATTGAAACTCTGTCCTCCAACAAAAATCTCTGAGCTGGATGCTGAGATAATACTTGTAATCATGGCAAGCATCCTCAACGGACTTCCCCATGCCAGGGACTCCTTGTGTTTCGATCACTGAGAACTCACTGCAGGGCCTGGCAACCAAAACAATAGGGAGGCGCGCATTTCATTTCATTCTCACAGGTGAGGGAACTGCTTGAGTGCAGAGGAGGTTAGGAAACTTGCTCAAGGTCACTCCAGCAGGGAAGAACTTTGATTTGAACCCCTGCACTCCGACAAGGGGCAAAATTAAGGTATGCGGAGGAAGCTTGTGCGCGGGCCGGAGGTAGTGAGATCACATGAGCTAGACATAGGGAGACAGAGAGAGAAGGGGAAACCAGCACGAGCTGGAAAGATCCTCGGAGTCTGGCCGCGAGGAGTGCCAGCGCCCAGTCTGAGAACTGGGAGCCAGAGCGTAGTCGATCTCTCAATAGGGCCTGCGGGGCTGGAGGGTGATGGGCCTCAAATTCTGGGCGGTTGGGAGTCTCACTGGCATACTGACAGTGGAGCTGCTTCATTGAGGCAGGGAGTCCGGCCCCTGTGTCCTACCTTGTCACCATTCCAGGCCCTGCAGGATGCCCTTACAGCTGGGTTCTAAGGCGCATCTAAAAGCCATGACCGACTACCTCACCTCTGGCCTCTGCCTTAAGCAGGATTCATCCCACGCCAAGGCCAGGAGAGCATGGGCTAGGCTGCGGCTGCTGCCACCCCTACCGGGCAGCCAAGGAAAGGCCCCCAGACTCCTCCTCCAGAACTCCTGATCAGACTCTCAAAGCCCCTGCCATGCAGATTCCAAATCTGGCAAGCAGAAAGAAACTCTCTGCCTGGACTCTCCCGGGCCTGGTCTGCAAAATAGAACTGAGAATAACTCCTCAGCCAAGACTGGGGCCAGAGGAACCTCTTAAGAAAATTAAGAAGAGCCAGGGACACTGAGCACTCCAGCAGGAGAAGACGGCTGCAGTCCAGCCATCACTGCTTGACTGCCCCCATCTGGACCAGGAGAAATACTGAGCCCAGAGAGGTGAAGAGGACTGAGATGCACAGCGAGGGAGCACAGAGCTGAGCTAGGGATGCCTGGCCTGGGCCTTTGTTCCACTTCCTCTTCACTCTGGGAGCCAAACTGCACTGAGCCTCTGCTGTGGGTGTGACTCCTCTGAAACTTCTATAAATTCTCTACATCCTACAAACAAGGATCATGAGGTCTGGAGGCTGGAGTCCTCTGCTACTTGAGGCCAGCCATCCATATTTGGCTGAGCTGGGACCCAGGTGCGTGACCTACATTTCAGCCCAGCACGCAGCTCTACTCCCGGCGCCTAGATGCTGCTTCTGCCTCG